GTAGATTTTTTTAGTGACCTTTGAACAACCTTATCAGTCAGTTTTCATTTTATTGCCGGTATATGGATGACACCTCCATTCTTTGTGATAATGATTCGGATAGGAGTACAATAATTACTGAATTCAATGAAGTACATTCGGCTATGAAATTCACATGCGAAGAGGAATCCCAAGACAGAATTGCCTTCCTGGACGTCCTACTTACAAGAAAACCAGATGGTAGCATAAAAAGAAATTTGCATAGGAAAAGTACTTGGACAGGACAATATACTCATTTTCACAGCTTTCTTCCTATCAAGTACGAAAGAAATTTAGTGAAGACCCTTAGCCACAGGGTTAGTTAGAACTATATGCTCAGAAGAAGTAATTGAAAATGAATTAAGCCTTGCATATGATACTTTGATCGAAAATAGCTATCCTGACAAGTTTATCAAGAAAAAAATGACGAAGAAAGCAGAAAAGGAATACTCACTATCCATAAACAAGAAATCATTACGAAGAAATTTAGAAAATCAAACTTTTAATGCTGGCGAACTACACGTATTATTCTCTACACGACCGATGGTGCTACCTCAACTGAAAGATGAAGTACCTAGACTAGCCACTTCAAATTACATCTACCAATTCAGCTGAGCTTGTAGAGCGAATTATATTGGCCGTTGCTCTAGGAACTTGATTTTACGTATCCGCTCAAGAACATCTCCCACTATGGCTAAGTAAAGGTGTAGTGAAAACCATTTACAGTTCGATATTAGACTACCTGCTTCAAACCGACCACAAAGCCAGCATTGAAGAATCCTTCTCTATCATTATCTACTGGGTGCCTAATAAATTGCCAAAATCATCGAAACACCACATGCACCAAACAGAAGAGGCTATTGCAATTCGCCTCAAACAACCAGTGCTCTGATTTCAAAAGAAGTAAGTCCAGCCCCTACTATTGCCCTGACCTTCAGTAGAAACTATAAAGTCATGAATTTGTAATATTATCGTTTCTAATTCTTCTGATATTTTTAGCTTATTTTATGTTGATGCTATTCAGCTGTGATCTATCAACATTATTGATTCGATGTTATTTAAACGCCAACATTAATGTTGTTCATAACACTAATTCATTCATTCATTCACTATAATGTATATATGTAACTGTAGAGCCTGATAATGAAGGGGTTATCGAAAAGAGTACTCTTTCTTCAGTGTCCATTCTTTTGAAAACTTTAATTATTGTAATAAAAGGAGGGCATGTATCCAGTTATAGCTAACTGAAAGAGTCCGTTCTCAACTTAGATCTTAAAACACTAGACAGATGACTTAATTGTTTTTATGATGAAATGTATACTAAAATCATTGCAATACTGTTTTTATTTTAGATGGTCATTCTAATATGTTTATTTACTCAGTATACGTTCAACACATATCACACCAACCGTAGTTGTAACCACAAAGTCATATTGATATGAATAATGGTAATCCCTTTTCACGCATTTACTTATAAACATGACGTGAATAAACTTTAGGCAAATTGGTGATAGCACATCGTGTTTTTACTCCTTTACGTTCCCAATGGAACATAGGGCTTCAAGATAGAGCTTTGAAGTTTCGGTAACAGTGGTGTTTATTTTTACGGGATGAAGTTGCTAACCTCATGTCCAACTTTCCCTCTCTCCATCAATCTTATTACTAGCTTGGTGAAGTGAAGAAATGCGTTGGCCGGGGATAGAGCCCTGAACCACCTGCATGGTTGGCGAGCACTCTACCACTGCTCCACCAACGTGCAGTGGCGTCACCGTAGCCAATGAAGTTTATCTGAGGCGCTGTTATTGTTAGTTGACAGCACAGTAGTTATTTCATTTTATTTGTAATTTCATTCACTTATTCGGTTCGGTGGTTAGAAGCGCTGGATACTTTAGAAGGATTGGCAGACCAAAATTAACAGTTACATTTTGAGTTTTAAATAAATTATACTGGGAATTAACTCAGAATTTTAAAGCAAACGAAAAGTTATTGAAAAAAATGGAATTTCTGAATTCTCCCACTAGATTTCATTAGATTATTATATTCCGTTCTGGAGTTAAAAGCTCGCTGTCTACTTCTAGAAAATACTGGTGCATAAATCAATAGGTTCAGTGTTTTGTGGATCTGATATTATTCCAAATCGCGAGCATGGTTTGGGAAGTTGAAGACTACTGAATCTACAGTAGGCGTTTACAATATTCTGAGTCATCCTTTGGAATTTAGAATTTCATTTATAAGCTAAGTATCACTTCGGTCGTGTTTTGTAAATCAGTGATCTATTTCAAGAAACTATTTGTCACTTTTCATTCTTCATATCATCGCCATCGTTATACCGACTGACATAATCTCTTTTAAGACATCCAGGGAAGAATAAAGGATGGGCAATAAGGAAGAGTAGGAAGAACAGATGAATTCATAAATTGTAATAGAAGAGGTTAATTTATGTTTGTCAAAAAATCTCAATATCTTTTCTTAGGAAACAACAAGATATAAGACGACCAACAGAGATTTGAAGAAAAACTGATGCTAACTAAGGCGATATTCAATTTATCCTCCGTCATAGTGCTGCCAGCACAATACAGAAATCAGTCTACGCCAATCTTAACGACAACAACACGTCAAAGTTCAACAATAGAATCCCAAGGGATGCGAATGCATGAATGACCTTGAGCCGACCAATAATGAACATTGAGGACTTTTGCAAGAAAATGCATGAAAGCACATTAAACAGGATATCTTTCTCTGAAATCACTTAAAAGTACGTCCCAGGTATAATGAGGAGTTTCAATTGCTTTAGTACATGTTTCTGTACATGTATTCGCTGAGGAGACGGAAGATGAGCTGTTTTGGAGAATCGTTTATCTCTCTCTTATCCTGCTGTGCAGTCTTCCCTAAAAGCCCTCGGATTGAATTACTATGGTTTCCAGTAAGAGGATCGACGACTACTTACTAGGAAAATGTGGATAATAAAGCATATTAAAATAAATGACATCAACTTTAAATCTATCCCTAATCGTAACTCTAACCTTAGTACTGATCCCAACCCTGAACTTAACACTAACCCTGACCTTGATCACATAACACCAATTTCAACACTTATCCTAACTGTAAACCTGGTCTTAATCCAAATTATGACCCTGATCGTAACACTAATGAGCTATTAACCCATCATCCAAACAGTATTTAAAAAAGTGATCTGGATGAAATTTGCTCCTTAGTTTGGTGAATACCGTTGATACTTCAGTTATGATAACGACCAGTGCAGTGCCATTAGCCGATGACTAGTATGCGTTCAATGTCATTGGAACGTTCGCACTTCTGGGATGCTAGTGTTGAACTTCGCCGACCAAAAACAACACATTTTGGTTTATATCAAACAGAACAGTTAAAATAACCATTGGGATCTTAACTACTCCGTAAAAATATCAAACAGTTTTCATTTTATGCAGGTCATCAACATCATGCTAAAAGCTAGATGAAGCATGACTGTGAAAACAATTTCTCCTAGACCATTCATACTAGAGGTGGGGAGAGAGAGTATAGTTATTATAAATGTCTTTGAGACGCTTCATTCACATTTTGATGTCTTCTAAAACTCAGAAATATAAACACATTCCAAAGAAAAATAAAATTAAACCAATAATTTTGAAATAATTGTAACTACGCATCATCATCACAGAACAAAGCATGGAATGTCAATTAAACCTATACCTCAACTTCATGGACTTTGAGAAGGCCCTCGACAGCCAGCGTTGACCGCGAAGTAATTTGGAAAATACTCGAGTACTACGGCGTACAGTGCCCTAAATATTCATCAACTTTATTCAACAGCTGTACGACGACGGCACATGTCAAGTGATCCACAATGGAAAACTCAGCGAGGCGTTTGGAGTAAACACAGGAGTCAGACAAGAGTGCTTATTATCACCAATGATATTCCTAATTGTGGTGGACTGACTAGATTATGCGTCAGACAGTGGGAAACGAGAAGACAAGAATATCCTTGACCGACCGACGTGAAGAACCTAGAAGACCTGAATTTCGCGGATGATTTATGTTTGATGTCACTTTCACAAAATCGAAGACTTACAAATGAAAACTGATAAACTGGTCGAAGAAGAAGCCGGCGAAGACATGACTCCAGGTGAACATAGACAAGACGGAGGTTATGAAAATGACCAACCAACCAACAACAATAACGACAACAGCAGAAAAATTCAGCTCCAATCACCATCAACGGGAGGGATTTCAAAGAGGTTACTTCATTCACTTATCATCTAGGGAGCACTGTCTCAACTACACGCAGTCCGAACGGACGACGATGTCAAATCGAGCGAGAATCGGGAAGGCGGGAGAGACACACATTCATCAACCTGAAATTAATCTGGAAATCTTCGTCACTCGACTCAGCATCAACAACAAAATTCGGTTGGATTTTCAATACAAACAGCGTCAAGTCAGTCAGTTCTTCTATACGGATCAGAAACTTGTCGGGCGGGCCACAAAGAATATTTCCAAAAGCCTGTTGCAGACCAGACCTCCAACAACAATTATCTTCTATGTCTCTGTACTGAAGATCAGATCAGCTGGCCGGGCTGGAAAGAATCACCAACAAGAAACTAGCTATGGGAACAAACAAAACAAGAACCAATCGCCCAGCAAATTGGATTGGACACTCGCTGAACGAGGAGGCCGCTGGGTGACACCGCGCGAGCGTCAGGCCATCGCTAGAGTGGAAACCGGCAGAATAGGAAGCGGCGAGTGGGACGTCGGTGCAAGGGTGACATGGAAGAGATCGTGTGAAGAGGAGTTGGTAGAAACAGTATGGACTAAGATGGATGCAGGTGAAAAGTAGAACAGAAGACAGAAGTTGCAAGTGGAGACGTTTAGTTGAAGCATTATTTTCCACTAGGAACCCAAGGGAACAATATAATAATAATAATAATAAATAATTTTGAAAACAAAACAGAAACAAAATAACTCACCGAAAACGACGTAGAAAGCTACTGGAGTTCTGAAACTCTAGATAATAGAAGCTGCTTTCTAAATATTGATGCCAATTCACGAGATGTTTATATTATATAAATATATATTGCAGAGTGTGGATTTGAGAAAAGTAGACGATTTTCTAGCCGGAGAAATGCTGTGCTATCACATTCAATTCAGTGGAGTTTTCAAAAGATAGAAGTGATGCTCTGTATTGTGTTGTTGGATGACGTGTATGTTTGGTAGATTTTCTGTTCAATTAATATGGAGAGAATTTAGATTTCTTTGAAGGATAATTGTTTCTTTGCCTCCTCTGGGTATTAGCAGTAGTAGACTACTTATTCAGAATGTGAATAAAATTTGTTAAACAATTTAAGATTTATCATGGTAAAATATTTTTCCTTGGATTTATCAGTGGTATACAGTATAGTAGTTGTAATGATGATCACATCAATATAGTACTGGTGGTGATTAAAGTGTTATGCTTCATTATAAGAAGGGGACGAATTTTTATGGCAAACAGGCGTATGAAAAGCGAAATTGTCGAAATTTTAATTCACATCTATCTACCCCTTTACTCATTTAACTATTCAGTCACACATACCCTACCCACCTACCCACCCACCCATTCACTCACTCACTCACACCCACACACCCACATTAAGTTTATATTGATATCATTACTAAAGAGTTCCATCAAAACTTTTTATGTCATTATGTCCCTGTGTTTCTCTCACTATGATAATAAGGCGCATACACATCTACACACATGAAACGTGCATATGTGTATGTATATATTTATTGTTTGGCGTAAACAAACAGCCATGTCTATGGTCCACTTTTAAACGCACACACCCCCCCCACACACACACATACAAACAGACGCCTAGCCTAGTACGGGCTGCAACCAGGTTGGTGGTTACGGCAGTTGCCAGTCTTTCACGCCGGTTTACTGAACTAACACACACCCACCACCATTAAATCTACGGTAAGAAAAGTTTCTTTAACATTGTATAAATAAAGCAATAATATAAAGGGATAGGAAAGAGATTAGCAAAAATCTTCTTCCCTTCTAATAAAAAGAAAGAAAGCCGTACCCATTTCAACGAGGTTTCACACACACACACACACCTGAACAAATGAAATGTGAACTTGAAGGAATTGAAAATCAGTAGTTGAAAATTTTAATTTTAACTTTAGAAACTTTTCTCCTTTGGGTTTAAAAAAAAAACCTTACAATCCCACCATCAAATGAAATATGCATAATTAAAAAATATTTCACTCGCTAGGAGATAGGATGCATGCATTCTAATTGAGAAAAACACGAGAAAAAAGAACCTTTTTTCGGCCTAATAATCACTGATGCATACAGTAGTAATAGTAATAATAATGATAATAATAAGTTAGCCACCTTGACGCCGGTCTGTCTAAAAACACCAAGGCACACACACACTCACATATAGAGAGGTGTCTATCTCGTCTCAATAGGCGTCAGACTGTCTATGCATTAATATAGACATTTGATTGGATTAAATCAACTACCAATAATACACAATATCAACATGTGCAATATAAAACTTTAATCCATACAGCAAAAATCAAATAGATAACACAACTTTTAATCATTCAGTGAGTGAGTGGTACAGCAGGTGCCTGCCTGTCTGTCTAGGCAAATATAACTAGACAAATTGGAGCCAGGTGTGACTGCTACAACCTGATTGGTTCATTATACCTGGTGTGTATGTGTGTCGTAGAATAAATGTTCAGTTTGACTGAAGCATGTGTAATATATTCATAACTTTGTGTGTGTGTACAAAGAAATACGTTGGTTAGAGAGCCACTGAAAGCCAAGGATTACTTGACAGTTGTTTCGTCCTAGTTCGGGACTCATCAATAGTACACATACACCTCCATGGTTCGAACCTAGGACCTACCGGTCACATAGCAAGCTCGCAATGGTCCATGAATTCGACCTCCTCCCACCAATTGGTGATTTCACCTCAACGACCAGTCATTGTCATCGGCGAGTATTAGTGGACCTAACTGGTCACGACATTTCATCACAACTCCAGACAACATCGTTCAGTAGCCAGTCACTAGCAACCACTAGATTGGTCATTTGTTTCAAAATAAGCTACCTTAAAGAATAAAGTGGTTGGTTTTTGCAAAGCTTCATAAATTGCTTCGCTTGGCCATGTTGAAATCACTAGCCAGCAAGCAAATCTTTAGTAGAAAATGGATGGAGTTTCATTTATTTAGTTACGACATATACAGTTTTCATTATTGATTTAGGCATTGAATGTTATATGTCGATACTTAGAGAATGTAGCACCCTAGGATGGACTTTTGAATTGTCTGTTTGTTTGTATGTCTATCGCTCTCGAAATAGCACTAGTGACTCAACAGTTTACGTAGTAACACTTTTATTTGAAAATGATGATTACCGAATTCCGATTTGAATGGAAACGTCATCATTCGATTGGATGTAGGTATATCCAGCAAATGCATCGGTGACATAGCGGTTAGGACGCTCGCCGACCATGCACATGGTCCGGGGTTCGATCCCCGGCCGACGTACTCCTTTACCTCGCTAAGTCAGTAATAAAGCTAGTAAAGAGAGAAGGTTAGACATGAGGCTAACAAACCCATCTTGTAAAAATAAATACTGCTACAGAAACTTCAAGCCTTCTAGCTTGAAGCCATATGTTCCACTTGGAACGTGAAGGAAAAGAAAAATATTCAGCAAATAACTGCTAGACATGATAAAACACATGTCCTGGATTTCACTTTTAGACACCATCTAACAAATAACAGCATGTTTAATTCCCCCAGAGTCGATTAAAATTCTCTGATGTAGTTCCAGATGGTCAATATAAGAAGCAATCAATCCTTATGTCTAGAGTAAAATTTAATTTTCAATTAATGATATATAAACATCGGTGGTTTCCATGATAGAATACTCGCCAATCATGCAAACAAGTGATCTGGAGTTCGATTTCCAACTGATGAACTCCTAAAACTTGCCTAGATAGTAGTAAGACGTTAGTCTAGCAACACCATTTCTATTGGAATTTCATTGCTAAAGGCTTGAAGCCCTATATTCCCCTCATGAACCCAAACAAATGGAGAGGAAAAAACACCCTGATATGTAAACTTTAGTGGATCACACCTGGTAATCAATATGACTCAGTAAAATTTAAGTTTCACTCAGTAAGCGTAATCAGTGAGAAAAGGGATAGTACTATTATTATTATTATTATTACTACCTTTAATTCCTAGAGGAACATTGGACTTCAGCTAAGCGTCTTCATCGCGTTCGGTTCTCTGCTAGAGTTTTCACTTGGCTCCAAGTCTGCCCACACGTTTTCATCTCCTCTTCACATGACCTCCTCCAAGTCACCCTCACAATGACAACCAACTCACCGCTTCCCATTCGGGTTCCACTCGAGCAATGGCCTGTCTAGTGATGTCACTTGGTGATTTGTTTTCTCAGAGTATAGCTAATCCATCTCCATTTTTTCCTGCCTATTTGTTGCACAATCAGTTCCTGATGGGTTGGTTCGCTCATCGCCAGAGATCCCTCCGTGTTTCTAATCTTTTCTGGCTGGCCATCTGATCTTGAGTAGTATTGAGCGAAAATAGCTGTTGATGAAGGTCTGTAGTTTGTTTGATATGCTCATTATGACGCACTGGCCAAGTCTCTGATCCGTATAATAAGTAGTACTGACTTCACATTTGAGTTGAAAATCCGAATCATATTTTTGATACTGATTGCTGTTGAGCCATTAGTACTAAAGGATTCTATTGTAGTTAGAGAGAGACAGTAACTAAGCTTCTCTCATAGCTGATTTACTAGGCTTATGTCACATTTAAATTAGTTAATTGGTACAGTAAATCAATTTAACAAAGTTAAATGTGTACCTCTGCTTAATAGGCATGGAGATTATTTATTAAATTCACACCTTGAATACTAGCAACAATTGACAGAAGTAAAAATTGTCACTTAGGCACGGAAAATTCACGTTTTATTTATTGTCCATGTTGTGATGACTGTCGGAGAAACAGTGTTTTCTTTCCTTTTCTAATGTATGAATTTCACAAACTTACAAATCATTTTCCCTACCTACTATCTGCATAGGCTTATAATGAACACAAGTGTTTTTATTTGAACAACGGGATGATAGTCCTTTTGACTATTTCACACTTGTCTATAGTGTGTAGGGGTTAGTGTTGGCAACATACTGTGGATTTCATACTGTGTGTGTTTTGTTTGAAATGACATATAGTCATTTCACTAAAAGGTTGAATCTAATTCTAGACAATATTTGTATATTAGTATAATGTCCAACAGTTGCTTATTACTTTTTTTTAAAGTATGTGTGAGGTCAGTTAGTCAGTTTAGTGAATAACAGTCACTTCAATACTGATGATGACGATGACGACGACAGTGGTTTATCGTCTTACTTATGTGAAATGATCAGCTAAAATGTGTGAATAACAAGGAAGTTATTTATTACTGGCGTTATGACCTAATATAATTTATTTTTGGCGGGGGGGGGGGTTGGTAACTTTGACACTTAAGAAGTGAGAAAAATGGTTGAATATAGCTGATATTGTTTTTATTTATTTATAGGCAGATTGCAGAAATATCAGTTATTTTATTTTTTTATAATTCCTTCACGTTTCCAGTGGAACATAGGACTTCAAGATACAGCTTTGAATTTTCGGTAACAGTAGTGTTTATTTTTTACGGGATGGGGTTGCTAGCCTTATGTCCAACTTACCTTCTTTACCAGTCTTATTACTGGCTTGGTGAGGTAAAGGAGTACGTCGGGCAGTTGGAGGGGTGGGGGGGGAGAATCCCGAACCACCTGCATGTTTGGTGAGCATTCTACTGCCGTACCACCGACACCCAAGGCATATCAGTAAGTATCATGAATTCCCTTGGCGTTAGGTCATAGTGAAACGACGAAAATCCAAAGCATTTTTGGTCTGAACGCAAGAAACCGATTTACGCGTTTTACTCGTATTGTTTACTAAAACTTTGTTGGGTTACTACTCACAGTCACAATATGCCCCAACGATACCAAAAGAACTTGCAACCCGCCCCCGTTATTTGCGATAAAATCTGTGTTACTATTCAACTACAACAAGCAAGCAAGCTCATAGACCAGTGACTAGCTCGTGAATTCTAACTTCTGCCAATTCACGACATAGCGTGACCACTTCACAATGTCTTCTTCGATGAGTTACTGCCTCATCTTCAACCTGCTTTGATTGTTACCACCATCAGTACTATAATAATACTAATTAATTTCTGATAACCAGAGGAAACTGCCGGCAGTAGCCTGTCAAAAAGTACTTGACAAAAGGAGAAACAATATAACTGATGCGCTATAATGTCTACAATTCAGGTTATTTTATTATAATTATTCTCTTGGATTCCAATTGGAGTCTCCTTTAGCTGCATCCACGATTGCCCACAAACACTCATTTACTGCCCACATGGTCTCCTCCATATCACATCGTCTGACTCACACCCATCTCATCAATTCCCACTCAGTTTCCACCTAGCAATGACCTGGAACGTGATGTCATCCAACGATTGCCTCAGCGTGTGTCCAATACATTTTCATTAATTATATATTTGTTGAATAGGAGGTTGTTGATTGGTTTGTTTCTAATTCTTCTTGGTCGGCCATTTAATCTTCAGTACCTTTTCTTCAGCGAAAGCAGCTGTTAATGTCTTAATGGCCTCAGACTTATCTATGCCATCTGCCTGTAGTTGAGGCGGATGGTGCTTCCTAGGTAGGCAGGGAAAGTGACCTTCTTCAAATTTATTCCACTGTTAGTGATTGGTGCTTGTTGTTGTTGGTTGGTTGTTTGGTTGTCATTATTCCCTCCATCTTCTCTATGTTCACCTGAAGTCATGGGTTTGTTATCTGCCTATTCTGTGAGTTTGTTAGTTTCCGCCTACACGTCTTTGAGTTTATATGACATCAATTCAGGTGGTACTCAATAGAAATGTCTTCTACTAGTGTGATCTCTAAATTTGTGCATTCTAAGAGGAATTTGGTTAATTTCTGGTATTATTTTACCAGTATTTCATC